TGCTGTTGCTGTTGCTGCTAAGAAGCTGTTGTTTCGCTTTTACATGAAACTCTTATCATGGCCAAAGGAATCGCTGGTCTACAGAAATCAGCATTATCGCCATGTCTGGCATGCTGTGAACTGTTGTGTAGCGGACGACGACAGCATCGGAATTTTATCCTTAATATGTTATCAATTGTTGGTGCCTATTGGATAATCTCAACATTATTATCACTGAATTCTACTCAGGTAACTTCTTCTTTTTGAATTACCTTAATAGTTGCTTTGTAGAGGCACTGAGACAAGAATCTGTTTAGCTTGTTTACTGGTTAACAAAGCAGTGCTTTTGTCATACTGTTGTCGACAGTTTAATTATTAAACTAAAAATTTTTCCAGAGGAAAGAAAGATATATATTCCTTATTTAACTGGAGCCAATCTGCATATTTCTGGTCTTTGTATATTGTAAGAATATAGTATTTTTCTTTTTTGCTGAAGAAACACTACCGTATAAATTCATATCGATCATTTCAGTCTAAAATTGCAACAGAACCAATTAATGTTTTAATGAGGAATGTAAAAGGTGTAGATCCAGCAGCAGCTTCTGAGGCTCTTGTTCGACAAAGACGGGATGAGGAGCGACAACCGGAAAAAAAAGTCGAAGAGGTGGAAGTCAAAAAACCTGACAAACCTAAAGTACTATTTGTATTTTAAGCTTAAAAGCCTTTCAGTATTCTTATGCTTAGTAATGATCCCGGATAATTTAGCAGCGAAAAAAGCATTTTTCGATTGGACAGCAGTAGTAAAAATAATATTTAGCAAGATTTTTAAAAAAAAAAAGAAAGAGAACATAGAGGTTTTTTTATTTTTTTAAATTGAAATTTAAGGTTTTCATTTTTGTTTGCTTATTTATTGGTATTGATTTTTAAGTGTATTCAAGAAGAGTGTGTGTGTTTTTTTTTGTAAAACTGATCACATTTCTGTCAATTGTTGTTCCTTATTTTCTATAGAATTTGCCTGGCAACAACTTATTCGGTTAGATGCGAAAAATTAGCTGTTTTTTATTTTTTTACTAGAAAGAATTTTAATGCAATTTTTCAGCAGTTATCTATATACGACAAAAATAGTCCAATTTATCGGCAAGGTGATCCGAATCAAGCTGGAGAATTCGGACGTGCTGTTAGAATTGATAAAGAGGTAACAATATCAGTGTTAAAGTCTGATGGCTATAAGTCACGGAAGTAATAGATATATCTACTTGGCTGGGGTTTTTTTTTTGCGGTTTTGAGAGCCTGCATCTGAATTTTCAATTCTGATAATGGTTTTTTTTGTTGTTGTGTTGGCTGTTAAAAGTCAAATTCCAGAAGCTTTCTCCAGAGGAGCGTCAGAAGTACGATGAGGGTTTTAAACGAAATTCATTTAATGAATATGCATCCAACATGATCTCTATTCATCGATCTCTACCAAATAATACTGATGTATTGTAAGTTTTTTGCCTAAATATTTAGTGAAAAGAATTTTTTTTTGTTATAAAACAGTTTTTTTTGAAAAGTGATATAGGTAGGCAATGGAACTAATAAAATAAATAGATTGGAAAAAACGGGTGTTTTTAACGTTTCTTTTTTTTGACGCATCCATAGTGCTTATGAAATAAACAGTGTTCAGAAAAAATATTACAGCTGAAATTTGAAACATTTAACAAATTCTTATTACAACAAATTTGTGTTTGTTGTTCATAAAAAGAAGTATATGAGCTAAGTGGTTATTTCTAAGCGTCAATTATAGTAGTTACTTATACTGAATGATGTTTTCGAAATACTGGTGAAGTTTTTTCTCATCTTTACTTAGACTATTGGGCACCAATATAGATTAAAGAAATCTTGATTTTTAGATGTAAAAATGCAACATATCCAACTAACTTGCCAGATACTTCGGTCATTATCTGTTTCCATAACGAAGCTTGGTCTGTGCTGTTGCGTACTGTTCATAGCGTGTTAGAGAGAACGCCAGATGAGCTTTTAAAAGAAATTATTCTGGTAGACGACTTTTCTGATATGGATCACCTAAAGGTTGTTGTCTTTTGGGTATTTTTTCATGAGAACGAACTTTACTCTTTCAACAGATATAACATCAGTAACAAATTTTTTTTCGTGTCTTAACTGAGAATTGATTGCTACCGAGTGGTGATTAAATTTTTTCATTTACAGAAACCCTTAGAAGATTATATGAGGCAGTTTGATAAAGTACATATCATACGTATGGAAGCCCGAGTTGGTCTTATACGAGCGAGATTACGAGGAGCGTCGGCTGCTGTTGGAAATGTTCTAACTTATTTGGATTCACACTGTGAGTGCATGGAAGGTTAGTAAGGATACCTAAATAATTTACTTTTAATGTAGTACATTGCCATAGCATTTAAAGGTAAGCTTTTTTTATATTTATTACTAAATTTTTTGATATTTGCTCAAAGCGTCACCTGATGGGCAAAAAATGTACTCATCTTACCGGCATATCTAGAATTTTCGGATTAAACTATCTAGGCAAGTTATTTTACACTTACTTCCTACAGAAAAAAATCTTCTTGCTTCAGGATGGATACAGCCGTTGTTAAGCCGAATAGCTGAAAATTCGACAAACGTTGTAACTCCTGTAATTGATACAATTGATCTTGAAACACTTCAGTTTCATCTCTCTGGCCATAATCGAATGAGCGTTGGTGGTTTTAACTGGGGGCTTGTTTTCAATTGGCATGTTCTTCCAGATAGAGATCAAAAAAAACGAAAAACTAGAATAGAACCAATTCCGTTAGTCTTATATCTTGCACAATTTAAACACTTCTCTTACCGTGCCGGCCGTAAAATCTAGAGCCTCTTAAATATGTTATTGAATTTGTTTATGCTTTGCAACTGAAACATTAGTACTGACATAAAACACAAAAGTTTATTTTTAGCTCGCCAACTATGGCTGGTGGTTTGTTTTCAATTGACAGAAAGTATTTTGAAAAGTTAGGCGGATACGACCCGGGGTTTGATATTTGGGGCGGTGAAAACCTAGAAATCTCGTTCAAGGTCGGTTAATTTTATCGTTGTCAATAGAAGAAGAAAATTTTACTAAAATTTATTAAAAAATGTGTAAAAGTTGGGATCAGTTTTATGAATAATCACAGCATATAGACTAATGAAAGTTTTTGGCGTTGTAAGCAGTACCCAGCTATTTCTTTCAGATTTGGATGTGTGGCGGTCGTTTAGAAATTGTTCCATGTAGTCATGTTGGCCATATATTTCGAAAAAAATCACCTTATAAATGGAGGACTGGAGTAAACGTACTACAGAGGAATAATGTCCGCTTAGCAGAAGTAAGCTGTTGAAATGCACCTCAGTTTAACTGATTAAGAGATTTTATATCTTGATTAATACACTGTAAAGTCATTTAGGTTTGGTTAGACGATTTTAAGCATATCTATTATCAAAGGATCAATAATAAACTGGTAGGTGTTTTTGGAAAAAACGTTATTCAAACTTTGAGAAGGGAAAAAGACAAATCATCTTGGTAATTGAGTGGAGGATCTATATTATCATTCTGACTTTAAATCTTGTTTATTTTTTTTTTAGGGTGATTATGGTGACGTATCCGAAAGAAAAAAATTACGTGAACGGCTACAATGTCATTCGTTTAAGTGGTATTTAGATAATATTTTCCCAGATTTGTTTCTACCAAGCGATGCTTTGGCCAGTGGAGAGGTTCGTTTGAAAAAAGTCGAAAACACTGCACTTTTACAACAGTCGCTTTCTATAAAATAAACACTTTGTTAAAATATGTTAACAGATTTTTTATTGTAGATCAAATTTGCAGATTCGTAATCATGGTAACAGTCGCTACTGTGTGGATCATGAAGTCGGTCGTAATGCAGTTAATGATCCAGTCATTCCTTATCCTTGCCACTTACAAGGCGGTAATCAGGTTAGAATATAGTTGACTGTTATTACACGTTTGTTGAAGTAGAGATAAATAGAAAAATTGTTGAATATAATGGTAAATTTTATTGTAGTTTTGGATGTTAAGTAAAGGAGGAGAAATTAGGCGCGATGAATACTGTCTCGATTATACTGGACGAGGTGCACCAGTAACTTTTGAGTGTCATGGCTCGAGGGGCAATCAGCTATGGGAATATAATCATACCGTATGTTTCTTAATTTTTAAGTAATTCCGTGCTAGAAAAAACAGTATTTGTGAGTCGTCTACCAGCATCCTACAAAATGAATACAATAATATTCTATAGTTTCTTTTAGACTTTAAAAAAATCTTTTTCTTCAATTGTTGCATTTGCTTATTCAGCATTTTTTGTATCTTTTAGAAAATGTAGAATGACTGGTAAAGTTACTGGATGGATTTGAGTGGGTTTATGAGTTTTGTTTTTTTAGACTGGACGACTTTTCCATCCAGTATCAAATAAGTGCTTAGAACTTAGTGATGATAATAAATCATTGGTAATGAATTCTTGTGATGGTGCAAACGAACGTCAGTCTTGGGTATTTCAAAATTACAACGTCACTCGTACAACTTCAGTTAAAGAGTTAGAAAAATAATTTGGATTTACTGAATTCTTTCATCTCTATTTTGTTGAAATTAATAAACGGTACGTATTCTATAAATGTTCCATATTTCTTCCGCTCTTTTTCGTCCTTTGTTTTTGTTTTTTTGCTGAATCATTCTAGCCTGATATACGAGGTTGTGATGTAGCTTTATTAGTGTCTAGTAATTGATAAGGGTTTTGGTAAACTGGTCGACAGCTTATTTACATAGGTTAATTATCTATTTATGATGCCATATCTGCAGATTATTATAAATTTCAGTGTCTTAAAAGGCAAACAGAAAAAAAAGTTTTGATTTTATTTCTGTATCTCCAGTCGTCGTTTCTACTGTTTTTCAAAGATTATTAAAATTTTGCTTATTATTATTATTATTATTATTATTATTATTATTATTATTTATTATTATTATTATTATTATTATTATTATTATTATTTTTGTTTTTATTTTTATTTTTATTTTTACTTTTATGTTTATGTTTATGTTTTTTTTATTATTACTATTATTCTTGTTACTGTCAATTCTTTGTTTATTTGTCGTTGCAGCACTATGATTTTAGTTTTCGTTTTTAATATTTATTGTTTTTTTTATTGCCAATAACTTTCAAAAAATTTTCTTGTAAATATTGCCATTCTGTGGTTTCAAGTCTCTTCAATTTTTTTATTCTTCTCTCTCTTCTCCTCTGTCAAAAAACAAAATTGTTTTTTTTTTCTGCTATACTAAACAAGTATTCTTCTTATATCTTTGTTTTCTTTTTTCTTTTTAATGTTTGTCATCAGTTTTGAATACAAAACAGAATAGAGAGGGAGGTAATTATGGTTTGTTGAGGAATTGCAGAATGGTTTATTTTAAGAACTGCAAAAAGAAAAAAAAAAAA